TCAGGGCCGTTTTTCCAGGTTCTGGGTATAAAAAAGACCAATAATAAAAATAGCATTCCCATCTTGGGGGCTTTATTTTTTTCTTTTTTTTTTTTTTTTTTGCAATCAAGAGCAAATCCATGTTTGGTCGCCCCCTTCCCCCCGTATTTAGAGCTATTGTGGAGAAGAAAATGAAGCCCCTTTTTCTGCAGTCCTAATAATGAGAAATAAAAAAAAAATGGAGATCTTTTTTCCCCTCCGCCAGGAATGCAATAATTAGAACAGCTGGAAGACAGAAAGCACATGTCACACACTTCCCCAGTCTCTGCTCTGCGTTATGGCGTGTCTTGCAGCTACTTTAATTCATCCCCAATTGTCAAGATCCCGAAGCTGCCTCCTTTCTGCCAATTGTCTTCAGGACTTGAACCGTCGTAAGAAGAAACAGTGCAGTGGGGGAAAGAGGCATCTCACAATTTCTTGACACATCGTGCCAGTACGTTTTTCATTAGTGCTTCTGGCAGGAGGACTTGACTCAACAACTCCCGATGAATTAAACAACAATCCTTTTTTTCCCCCCTATAAAAACAAATCATACTGTTTCTAAAAAAGAACTGCTGTAAGGGGGAGATGGCAATTAATTCAGACTGGGGGACGTTGGCAGGAAGCTCAGGAGTTGCGTGTGAGAGGAGCGTGTCATATTCCGGACCGTGCAGAAAACACGACCGTTTGGGAGGCAGGCTTCACAAACGGATAGGTCTCCTGGAGCGAAAGGGCATTAAGCTAAGGACTGAAAGGTACATTTTCCATCAAGTCCAGCCATCCTGATGACTCTGTGGACACGCTGTCTTATTTTTTTTATTGGCATTTCTGTGCTGCTCTATTCCCAAATGGCTGTGAGGGTTTTGATGTTGTTTTCTTGGCAGCAGCGTGGCGATCTTTCGCGATTGTCTCCTTGCAAGGCGTTTTTTTTTCAGCTTCCCAGCTGAGTCAGTCTTTCATCCTAATATTAACAGGAGTGAGAAGCTGGCCCTGTTGCATGGGTCATAGTGCATCTACAATACACGCCAGACAGAAATAACAGTCCCGGCACATGTCAAAAAGGGAGGGAGCTGGGATTGCATAGCGGCAGGTGCCACCTCGGCTTTACGCCACCCTTTGCCCCCGTCCATTCCGCTTCTCGTTCCAGCAGGTGGAAACTCTCGCTGCAGTTCTTTCTCGAATTTCTTTCTTGTGTTTATGCTGGAGTCAGCCACTTTTTCCCGTGTAGGCCACGTCTGCAGAGTGAAGGGGGGAGACTCCCTCTCTCTCAGGCAAATCCACCGGTCCTTGGAGAAACCCCTTGGGGTGAACCCCAGAAACACCTTTCTTGTGTAGGGGAAAGAGAGAGGGCGGCCCCACAGAGTGGCAGGGCTTATGCTATAAACACAAATGTATACTTATTTACAGGCTCGTGGCACCATCCAAATCGTTAAAAGTCATTAAAATAGTGTGGTTCTACATCAGGGCTGAGACAGAATTACAAACTTGAATTCTGTGTTAGGATCACTGTGGGCTGAGTGGATATGATACTTCCTTTTGGGACTATAAACTGGATGATTTCAGGTGGTGGGTCAGATCCCGCCGGCGAGCTGTAGATCACCTTCTCCATGGTCTGCCTGGATTAATGCAATGTTTTTGGTTGTGTTGTCTTCCTGCCCTGGGGAGGAAATTGAGTGGAAAGGTCAGGGGTGTCCGCAGGGTGTGGTCAAAAAAGTCAGGATGGCAGTGAGGATGGTCCAATCAAAGTTCTGCCAGTTTTTTATGTGGTTCCATCATACCACGGCCACCATCTTGACTTTTTTTACCTTTTTTGGCAGAGGGAAAGGGTTGTGCCAAGCGAGAGATGAGAAATATAGACCTGCCTTCTCTCTGTTCACATTCCTTTTGAGGAGAACAGCTACTTCAAAGAAGGCTGATGCTATG